TTCGACTCAGCACCCCGAAGACTACAACTGGTGAAAATTTGATTTTAGGGTATACTTCCCCTTTAACTACCAAGCAAGGCTTCTGTATATAACCTACTAGTAGTAGATCTACCTGGCAATGACTTCCAGACACTGCACTACAATACTCAATAGTCTGTATTGTACTTGTAGTGGACGTTTGTGTGTGGGAGTGTTTAGTTCAGAGACGTGCATCGTGCTGGCACGTCTGGTTTGGGCTGTTCGTTTCCCACACCGCACCGGGAGGCAGGAATGCTGACAGCCAGTGACAGCGACAGGACGGCTCTACGCACTGGGCACATCGGTGGCCCAGCGTGCAGACTCCCTAGCCTCCGACGGGCGACCGCGCTGACACAGCCTGATCCAACCTAGGACAGTAGGAGGCTAGGTAAGGAATAGCCCTCGGGCTACTAGTACTACCATGACTACGGATGATCCGGAGACCATCATGCCACGCCGTGGTTTGGGCAGCGCAGCTACTTCTACCATGTTCTACACCAGGGATGGTTTTCACGACTCCCGGCCTGGTCGATCTACACCCAAGCGCTTCGATGATGTCATCTTGGCAGGTAACTGGTTGCAGCCTAACTCAACGAGAGCTAGCTAGCTTGAGCCTTGGCTCGGCTTGAGGCTGGATCATGGACATGGGGGGAGTAGTGCTGGCTTGTCCGATTTTTCTGTTGTCGCCTTTTCAAAACTGTCAGCTCAGCTGATGTTTCTGTGAAGCGCTGGAACTACTGACACGATGCGAAAAAGTAAGTCGTTAGTTGTGAGTACTCATAGTATTCCAGTCCGGAGCGCTTCACGAGCTGTTCCAAGTCTCAGGAAGTATCGCTAGAAGAAGACAGTTCATTAGGCATCGTCACACTCGAACGAAGATCTCTGCGGTGCCGGCAAGAGAAGGCGCAGGCGGATACGTAACGGTAACATAGAGCCGGAGTCGTTCAAATCACCCGCCCGTTCACGTACTCCACGCCGGTGTCGGGGATTTGGCGGCTGTTTGCTGGCCAGCGGACGAATGACTTTCTCCCTGCATGTAGCGCGCCAGTTGGACGATGCCAGGCAAGAGCAGTAGCGGGCAGCTATGCAGTGACTGCGCCGCTGCTGGTTTGCCGGCGCTGAAGGCGGCAGCCGAGGGCCATGTGAAGTGCTTGAGCAGAGCGTTCGCCGCCGACAGGCAGCGGAGCCTGGCATGCGATAGCAAAGGCGCTACAGCGCTGCACCTGGCTGCGCGTGGTGGACGATTGGAATGCGTTACGTGGTTATTGGCCAAATCAGGAATCCCGGTCACAGTCAAGGTGAGTAGGCCCGGACCAATGGGAATACGCTCATTTTCAGAATGGCCTTCTTGGGGTACCAACTGAACAAAAATTAATGATTGTAGACATGTGTGCATCCTAGTGTACCTAGATCAGTTATAGAAGAGTACAATCACGTACTGGTATTGTAGTGGAATCCTGATAATTCGAACCCCACAATGCTGAGGAAACTTCGAATTATCCGGACATCCTGCTTATCCAAAAAAGAAACATTCTTGTCATGTAGTACTAGTAGTGCTTCCCAATGGATGTCTCTGTCAAAGCATTGATCAGCATATTCAGCATACAGTCAGACCTCGCTTATCCGGTCCTCGTTTATCCGGATCCCTCGCCATCCGGAAGAAAATTGTTGGTCACCGATTTACAGCATTATGCCATGCACACATACAGTATGTGTGTTCGATTATCCGGTTCCCTCGCCTATCCGGATATTTTTGTGGAAAACGGATGTGTGCGGTTAAGCGAGGTCTGACTGTACTACAGTGTACATGAAAGACAATGATCGAAGAAATCAGATCAAGTTTCAGTACCCTGACCTGAAACCCAGTACCATAAAGTACCGAGAGAGCGCCCCGCCAATTCCTCCTTTCGTGACCGTGCTGCGGAGGTGGTGCCCTGTCTGCTGCGGAGGTGGTGCCCTGTCTGCAGGTCATGCAACAAGTACATGTACCTTGAACATAAATTGCATGTTCTGCAGTCAATCAGTACTCAATTTACCTTGGAGCTCCACACAAGAACATGCTAAGTGTGACCTCAGTACAGTAATTTGTTTCACACCGAACAAACTTAGTTGCACCGTCTGCCATACGATTTTCCTTTGCCTGGCGGTAAAATCAAGGTGGGGCGCTCTCACAGTACTTTACGATACTGTTATTTTTTTATCACTAGCTAATAGGGTTGCCTCAATCTGCGGACAGAACTGTTTCGTCCTTTGTGGACTCGTCAGCGCAGCACAGAGGAAATGAGGCCGAACCTGATAGCAATGGAAATAAAAATTTCCAATCAGGCCCGAACGTACCTTGCTAGAGTGCTCAAACTGACAAGTCAGTGAGCTCTGCATAACGCAAACAGCAAAGGCACTACCCCACGCAAGAGTGCTCAACTGCTACAAGAGCAGGAGCGAAATACTCAATCTGCGGACAGAACTGTTTCGTCCTTTGTGGACTCGTCAGCGCAGCACAGAGGAAATGAGGCCGAACCTGATAGCAATGGAAATAAAAATTTCCAATCAGGCCCGAACGTACCTTGCTAATAGGGTTGCCTATAGAATCCTTCAAGTCTAAGTGAGCTAAGGTTCTGATATTGTAGCACTGTTGAGATGGAGTTTGACTGTTTTCATCTCAGAGCACTTAGCATGGCATAGTTATACACGTCATCTCGTGCAGAACAATAACTTCTCAATGTGCTAACTTTGAGAGCATCCCGGCTGTTGAATGGGACTGCCATTTCACTTTTTTGTTGACTTTAAAGTCTCATCATTTCATGCTCTTGGCATGCGTTTCCAGAGTAAAACGTAGATTTTGAGACTATGCATATCCAGAAAACTGGTTTCGAACCATCCTGTTATAGCAGCTGTCCTTCTTTGAACTCAGCAATGAATAGAAACTGAACCTCAGTTGAACCTTTGTTGCAGCCCTAGAACTTGTTTTTGAACAATGAACTACTAGTAACTAAATAAGTTATCTCTGACTGCTGTATGCCCGCCGACATCTAACTTTCTTTTTACACAGGCAAAGAATGGTGAAACACCGCTACACTTGGCCGGAGCTGCAGGTCACATTGGCTGTTTGCAATATCTGATCACATACGACAAGAAAGCGGTGTATTCAGTGGACCGCTATGAGCAAACTCCTCTCCATTTGTCAGTACTGCGGGAAAGGTTCACCTGCTCTAAGTGGCTGATTGAGATTGCGAAGGCAGACCCTCTTGCCAAGACTGCAACTGGTGCAATTCCATTACACTTTGCAGCTGCTCAGGGTAAGACCTGGGAAGCCATCCTTTGTAAAATGATAAAGCCAGCGAGCCATTACGAGTCGACACTGGGCGGCTCCACGTGCTGTTAGCTTTGTAGATAGTCACGTTACTTATTGCTTGACGTCTATCTTGCTGGCAGTCACCGCCTATGCCGTTTGTGCCTGTTTAGCTCTCGATCCATCCATCTGTGTCAACCCATGGACCAGTGGCATAGTAATCAGGCATGGGGGAATAGTTCACACAACAGGCTTGTACAGGGTGTATGGTAACTTTCAAGTTTGAACTTTCATCTATGCTTGTTTGTGCAACCGATGTTCTTCGAAGTGTTTCTTTCACTGAATTATTATCATCTGCCTGCCTCTCCCTGTCTCTCTCTCTGTCTCTCTCTCTCTCTCTCTCTCCTCCTCTCTCTCTCTCTCTCTCTCTCTCTCTCTCTCTCTCTCTCTCTCTCTCTCTCTCTCTCTCTCTCTCTCTCTCTCTCTCTCTCTCTCTCTCTCTCTCTCTCTCTCTCTCTCTGTCTCTCTCTCTGTCTCTCTCTCTCTGTCTCTTCTCTCTCTGTCTCTCTCTCTCTCTCTTCTCTCTCTCTCTCTCTCTCTCTCTCTCTCTCTCTCTCTCTCTCTCTTCTCTCTCTCTCTCTCTCTCTCTCTCTCTCTCTCTCTCTCTCTCTCTCTCTCTCTCCTCCTCTCTCT